GACGCAATTTTCCGCTGGCATGTCCCATTGAATGTCATTGCTTTTATCATGGCATCCAACACTTGCAGATGTGACTCAAAAGGGGGTTCTGAAGCTGATGAACTTGGATGGCCTGACAGTCTACCATACCAACAACCATCTCCAAGTACACAAACTTGAAAACTTTCTAAGATTCGTACACACCTTCAGGTACAGATGCTTGGTTTTTTCTCTACGATTTCTTTAAATTTTAAGCAGACGAGCCGCCCATATGTTCATTAGAAAATGATGGAGGTGACCCTATTTAAAATGATGTTTCAGATTTGTTTTCCAAGTAAAGATCAGAAAGCCGACAACGTTTCTATTATGTTTTAGGAGAAATTTGGATCTTTTTGGACAGTTATTGCAACCATCTGTCTGAATGAATATAAAAACAATGCTATGAGGTAATGCAAGCATGAGGGTGCCTCTTTTCACAATATGCGAACATATGGGCTACTCGAGGCTTTATGTTGTTTATCAATCTAAGGCACGTGAAACTTCACTGTCGTTATTTTACATACCAATATCATTGCTTCCTCCAATTTCAATTGATTTTCATTTCTTGATTCGTGTGTGTATAGGACAAAGAGGAGATAAATTAAGTATTGGAAAGCTTAAAACCAGCCACCCAGAACCACTCTGCCTGGAGAAAGAAGACAATATTTGGCATGATTTGCTTCATCTACTACAGGTAATCTGGTCTTTTATTGTGCACACACTATACTTTCATGTACAAATAATCCAGAGGCTTGTTCTCTGAGGCATATATCAAGCAAGCTTCTAATGGAGAAGAAATAAGCAATTCTTCTCTTCAATTCAAATAATTGATTTGTTAAGTTGTTTTCAGTTTGAGGTGTCAAAATGAGAGCTTGGAAGATCAAGACCTTTGAACTGAAACCAAAATTAAGATATACCAAGACACCGGGACACATAGAGTAGCTAACTAGATGTATGGTTATTTCCAGAAAAGAACAACAGAATAAAATAGGACACCAGAAAAATCCAGTAGGGAACCTGATGGACTACCCTCTTCGGTAAAAACTTGCTTCATGGCATTGTATAATGTATTGAGAAATCACATAATCAAAAATCACTGCCCCGTTCTCTTCGGTAAAGAATGAATTTTTATTTAGCTGCGCCTCAACTTAACGTGCAGGTGACTCCGTCAGGACACCAGGAACATGATTGCAGTCCAGGATACCATACTGCAACCTCAATCCATCGAATGTAATTCAGTGAGATATATATGTTCTCATTTCCAGACTTCAGTGTTCAATTCAATTCAATATGTTAGCTTACTGATTGCTGCATACCTACCATTTCTCAAATGTACGATGTGGTTTCTGCTGTTGATTTCAAATTGGCGAGATATAGTTAAACTTAGGTTATTGTCATATTAGCGGAGGAAAATCTTGATTCCTAAATGCAGTAGGCTAACTATCAATAAATCTTTTATGTATAATACACTGCCTGAAATGTAGCTCTAAATACACTGCCTGGAATGTAGCAAAGGGATTTTGGTAGTACATGCATGTTTATGCTCACTGTTGAATAGTCTGTATATAACTATTTATGCAATACTTGGACCATAGGAGCAATTCATTCTGTATATTGTGCAGGGGATTGTGCCTTGCAGTCAATTTATAGAAGGGTAAAATGTATCACAATATCTTTGACTTGCATTCTCTGTGATGTCAAGTAAGAAAATAGAATATATACTCTTTGAATTATCTTTTTTTTCGACGTCTCTATCTTACTTATATAATCCAATTGGCATTCGCTAGAGTTTCTGTTGATGAAACATTTGTTTTGTGATGTGAGGAGGTTCTGTTTGTGACTTTGCAATCAATATTCGTAGATCATGATATCTGCACAATCTCAATCTACTTCCTGTGACCATATATTGTATTAATGGGTTGTGTCAGGGTTATTTTATCAACTACTGGGTTGTTGATCTACATTACGGTTTAATTCTTACACGAATTATTGTTGACTTGATTCCCTGTAGTAGGTTGAGAGGCTTCTCCTCTCATGATTTACTCTGATTAGTTTGCTTGGCTCCATGCTCCTCATGATTTCTTTGAATTTTTCTGTAGGAGCTCGGTCAAAAATCACCTAAGAAAAATATGTCGTTCTTCTCTACAAGGGTTGCATGTGGAATCTGAGGAGAATCTGTGCACCAGCGTCCGACTCCTTGATGTTGCTCTGATCATATTGTGTAAATATATTTCTAATAAAGCAATCGCCCGATGGTGTACATGTTAGAAATAATAAGATGTAATCATCAAGTGTGAGAGATGGCAACATCATGATGGGATGGTATGTACTGTTGTGCTCATCAATAAAGTTAGATCACTTTTCTGTCTGAGAGTCGATTTTTTTGTGCGTTAGATGGATTGACAAGTACCAAAGTTTGATGCAAGCAGAACTAAAACCTGTCCATTGATTACCTTCAGTCCCACATTTCAATCAACAACATTGGGCCGAGCGAGCGCGTGGGTGGCGCAAGAGGCAATGGGCAGCCGGTGGAGACTGAGTGGCGAGCGGCGGTGGCGAGGTCGAGCGGTTGGCACCAGCGGCGAGTAGGCAATTACCGTGATCGGCGAGCGGACGGGGCGAGTAGGTGTCACGATTGCATCACAATTGAAATAAAGTAAACAATGCATACCTGTGGCCATAAACTGATTTTGTATGTTGTGTGCTTGGGTTAACAGCCAGCCAAATCAATCAGTCAAGGGCCATTATGTACGTGAGTGTGTTAGCAGTGGGTATATCTGAAGATTATTTCTCAACTCGGCATGTGGGTAGAGACTAAAAAGACGATGCCATGGTAGCATGGCAGACCTGGCAAGTGCCACGAACATCATGATATTCTTCCTTTTCTTAATTCCTTGATTTGAAAAATAATTTGCTCTGCGTGTGTAGGAACATAGCAGTCGGGCAAATGACACTTTGGCATCTTGATCTATCAAGAGAAATAATTTCTTTACTTTAGAAAATGTGGGTTCGGATTGGTCTGTTGAGTTATGGCTGGCTGATCGGAATAATTTTTCTATTTAAAAAATATAGCAAATAGCATTTCATTATAGATTGGTCTGTTGAGTTACGGCTGGCTGATCGGAATAATTTTCCTATTTAAAAATGTAGCAAATAGCATTTCATTAGAGATGGCTTTGCAGCAAATTGCAAATCGCGCAAACCAAGCCATCGCCGCCTCGTCGGAAGCGACACCGCCTGTCTCTTCTTCGCATTCTTAGCCGGCACCTCCTCCATCCGGATGCCCTGCGGCACGAGCCACTCCACCACCGGCTGGGACTCGACCTCCGGGAAGTTTAGGTCCGTCTTCGGCCGTCCGGCACGCCACACCGCCAACATAGGAACGAGCAGCCTCATCGGCGGTGGGATACGTGCCGAGCCACCAACGCTGCCCGGCGTCGGAGAACTCCAGTCCGAAGTTCCCGGAGGGCTTCGCCCTCATGCCGAAGAAACCGGACTTTCCCTTCGGCGTCTTCTTCGGCGCCATCGGGGAGCGGGGTCGGCCGAGCGGGGAGCGGGGCGGCGACGTGCGGCGCGGGGTGGAGGCGGACGGAGCGGGGTGGTGGCGTGCGGCGCGGGGCGGAAGCGGACGGAGCGGGACGGCGGGCGGACCGGAGAGACAGGCGGACGGAGCAGGGCCGGAGAGGAAGCAGACGGAGCGGGGCCGGGCGGAGGATGGACCGGAGGCGGAGGCGGCCGGAGAGGAGGCGGGCGGGGTCGGGGTGGCCGGAGCGGAGGCGAACGCCATGGGGCAGCGCGGCGGCCTAGGAGGGGTGGAATCAGTGGCGGGGGTCTGGATCTACGGCGGGGCGAGGCCTTAGAAAGTTAACATGTAACTTTTGCAAACTATTTCAAGAGCCCGTGGCAACGCACGGGCAGTCTACTAGTGTTTTTAGTGTTCCAGTCTATTTTCTGGAAAAGAATACCAAAATTCAGATGTGGAAACTGCATATACTTGCAATGTCAGTATCATCCTCTGTAAAATAATAATAATAATAATACACGCTAGCAAAAGGGGCATCACTATGCTATATGGAGTACAAATACATAGACTTCAAGTCTTCAGCCATTCTTTGTAAACTGAGGGCATTCTATTTATCTTAATTGCCTTGCACATGTTCTGAATATCGATGTCTCATTAGAAGCTGCATATTAATACACAGAGCACCTTTGACCAATCAGATGTGGCTGTTCGTTGTGAACAACCATCAGCTTGCATATACTACTAAAAATTATATTATATGAAAAATGAGATGAATTTAGCAACTAAATGACAAGTAGCTAACTAATAATTCTGAATATACTGAATTGAACATTTCCATTTTCGAGAGGTCTCTACACTAGCTAGCTTTGCGTTAGATTGCTCCCGTACTACTCTTGCTTGGGATGATCTATTAGTCATGCGTGTTTTGTTGTATTAGGAGAAATCTCAGCGCAACAACTTGAAAATCTTCAAATATTCTACGTCACACAAGAGATCGTAATTACTGAGATTTACCAAGTCCAGATTAGAATTTCTTGATCCATGAATAAAGTTCTCAGAACCTGCAGAAGCAACAACACGAGAAAAAAAAACCATCACCAGATTTGGGACAGCTGGATGAAGAATACATGCATAATGAACTAAGAAACAGGGGGAGGGGGGAGTGCAAGAAAACTACGAACTATCTAATCCACTTCTGCTCATCATGACGCCAACCCGGAGCCCCGACTTGACCTTGAAGGGATGCAGGATCTAAGTAGTATAGACAAGTGTACCCTAATTATATATAAAAATAATAATTCATTGGCAGCTGGGAAAGATGAGCCTGCCAGACTGAACCACCATAGGAAGTCTGGTTTCTACATGGGTTTTGTCTTAAACTCTGGCTGTTTCATGACTTATAGAGTAGCATTATGTATAAGGTCAAACAACTTTCATGTTCCAAGTTCAGCTGGTGACATCATGACCCACATTCTGAACTAAACTGGAACCCCAAACAGCTCACAGGGTTAAATGTAAGTGAAATAGAACATTCATGTAGTAACAAGTCAGATTTTGTTACCCCTAGTTTAGCTAGGAGATCGATGGATGGAGGACCAATGGTTTTCTGGTTGATCACCACAAAAATATTGTAACTTCCTGAGAGAAACTGCATGTCATTGAAACGCGCAAGCACAATCTTTTCAGAGAGAGAGAGAGAGAGAGAGAGAGAGAGAGAGAGAGAGAGCAAGGGACACACTAAGCAAAATACATTATTTTTCATTTCAATGATCTTACTGACATGTTCATCAACTTGACGTCTCTCGGAAGAAACCATCTTTAATTTTCTCCTTGTTCAGTGTTTGAGTAGAAGAATCCTGCATTTATTTCACTGAGAAAATTGTGTGTCAATTAAACTCTCCCCTTCAATGATGCGCGTGAAACAGGAAATCTAAGGGCCTGTTTGGCAGCTAAGTTTTTTCTTAGTATTTGGAAAATACCGTGGTTTCTAAAAATAGTATAGTTTTAAATACTTTAGAGTGTTTCTGTGGCAGAGCTACAAACAAATAGCTGAGCAGGCGAGGCTGAAGGAAAGCTGTTATGCACTCATCCTAACAACAATGTTTCACTAGATACAATTTCTTTTGAGGCACTATGGATATAAATTGGAAATTTGACGCAGTCAGATTGTTCTCATGTTAACAATGCTTCACTCGATGCAGTTTACACTCAGATTGATGTCATGCTAACCAGTGCTAACAATAATTATTCACTGGATACAAATTAAGCTGTAGAAATCAGTAATTAGATGAATCAACGATGTTGTAAGTGAAATTTAGGGAGATGAAAGAATCAAAGGAAATTACCTGCATTGTCTTGCAGGGTCTTTTCCCCTCATGTAGCAGTACTCATATCACTACACCTGGAAATCTCTCCTGTAAAAAAGCAAGACTCGCATCAATTGAAAATAATGTCCATGAAAAAGGACAATTTTATCAAGACATATGAGCACTCGAGACAAATCAGCAGCGCAACTCGCAAATCAAACACTGGCAGGGACTCGCGATTTTGGAGAGGTTGAGAGAAGTTGCTCGTTTCCTTTGGGGCTGAGGCGCTGGTTGGCCGCTGCGGGCTGCGTCGGTCGGTGCCTCGGGCTGCGACCAGTCGGCTGCTATGTGCCGGTTGGCACCGTCGGCGAGGAACAAACAAGGATGAGCGAGGGCAGGGGGCGTACTACTGAACTGATGCAGTTGAGGACGGGGGCGTCGGTGCTTGCGTCGTCCCTGGCTGTGCAGAGGAAGAACGGCGGCCTCGGCATCTCAGGTCGCGCGGAGGAACGGCGGCGGCGGCACCTTCCCCAACGCGAGGAGGATGGCAACGACGCCATGCGCGTCCCCGACGCGAGGATGATGGCGAAGACGCAGTGTGCAGCCCCAACGCGTGGAGAAAGTGGCAAGGGAGGGGGGCTCGGCGAAGGAACAGGGGGAGGCGGGGCAAGGGGACGGCGGCGGTGAGGGAAGGGGGTGGAGGCCGATGCAGTGTGTCTCTCGTTTAGGATTTTTTTTAAAGATAAAGGCCAAAACGAAGGGATAATAGACTTCGTGCGCGAGCGACGAGACAGAAGAGGGTACGGGGAGGTTAGGCTGGTCACAGCGGGGAGGAACTTAGAAGTAATATCACACACTCCAATACAACTTTGCTTATGTGGCACGTATTTAATGAAGAGAGAGGTGCTTGTGGTAACTAGCTAAGTTACCGGAACATCACACACTCCAAGAAACAATGAGTCTATAACCTAATAAATACATCGTTGCATGACACTACATAGATGTTCCTACCCACTATGGAGGTAGTAACATAGTCTAGGAAAGTGTGAAGTTACTAGCTTATGTTCTTGCCCACTGTGACCAGCCTTAGCGCTAAGTGGGGAATGTGGGATATTCAACCAAACAACACATCAATGCTATCTTCATTGCTAAACATGCGTTGCTACACGGGGTTTTTTGTTGTAGTGGGGCTGGATGGGTGGGGAGCAGCAAAGGGTATCTCCGGTGAGCTCCGGCTGTGAACGACGGCCAGAGGCCCGCCCAACCTGGCTGTGGCTCCTCTACTACTTGTGGTGGATGGCAGAGTGGGTGAGTGAGCTCGGAGAGTCCAGGGGCTCGGTATTTATAGGCAGAGGGGGGGGGGGTCTTGGCTCTGCCGGAGCTCTCTAGAAGATGGCGCACGATGACGAGAAGTGTCAGGGAGGGGTGGAGAGGGCTCGGCGATCACGCGGGGACTGTGGAGCTTGCGGACGAGCACAGGAACGCAGGCACAGACAAAGACAGTGGCACGGGGCGCACTGTGGCTTTGGCCGCATCGTGCCCGTGCCCGCTACGGCTGGTCCGACATCGGCGAGCGCTAGGGAGGGGTCAAGCTTGAAGAGTTGAGGCTGGTGGCGTGGTGCGGCAGTCGGCGGCGAGTGTTGGGCATGCGATGCACAAAAGCATGGGCGCAGTACAGAGCGCGTTGAACGCGTGCCAGGGCCCATGTTCTCACGCGGTCACCATGCTAGCTTCGTCAAAAATGACGCCCAGGAGATGCCAAACCATGTCCAACGTATTGTCTGTGCAGTGTTTGGTCTAAGTGACGAGATGACACACTGTCAGGCCGACCGGATTTAACAAGAGCTATGGAGCAAGTTTCTGGTCAGAAACTTTGACACTGTGTTTGGATAGGTTCGAGAAGAGGTTTAGGGTTAATCTCCTTGGGTTAAGGTTTTCTTAGGAAGTTAACGAAGCTCAAGAAAAATCAGCCTCATTAGATCAAGGAATAATATACTTTCAATAGAAACTGCATTTTGAGGCCAGAACATAAATGATTTTCTATAGCAAAAATATTCCAAATAAGTATGAAATATTTTATCACAGGGATGTGTGCCAAGGTTCAAACAATATTTGGGAATTTTCTCAGATTTTTAGGAGCAAGAAAAATGAGGGTTGCTTTGGAGCATATGTTGGTGAAATGATTTTCAGAGAAGAAAAAGAATACTTTTCATTTATGAAAAATATTCCTTCAGCCATTTTGGGATTTTTCAGAGAGAAAATAATGATTATGAGAGGGATGGGTCACTTGGGTGAAACTCAAGGACATGTCCAAGTGTTTAAGTCCAAGTGAGTTGATTCAAAAACTCCAACTTGAAAACCAATGGCAAAGAAATCCAGAAAAAGAGAGAAGGCAAAAACCAGGCTGTCACACTTCTCAACAAAGGCGTCCAATGCTTCCAGTTGGTTGACGAAGGCCAACGTCACAGCATCCTCACTGGCCTTATCGATACCTATGTACATGACTTCCTTGTACACGTGGATGTGTAGCTCGACGAATTCTTGCAGGGCGAGGCGCCTCGCGGTGAGCGCGACCTCCAGGTGGACATTCTTCGTTGCGTCAGAGGGTAGTCGCATGGGCCACCAGTGCTTGAAAGAGGTTCTCGCCATGGAGGCCAATTAGAGTGGTAGGCAATGAGGATCCGGGCGCGCAGGTTGGAGGAGTACGGCGATGTCGTCCGTGAGCTACTTGTCGATGGTGAACTTGTTGATGGTGGCAACGATCATTTGGTCCAACTGAGAGTCGTAGCTGGCGTCGACGATGGCCATGAACCAGCGGGTCACCAACACCGTCTAGAGACGATCCTCGATGCTGATACGTCAATTTTGCATCATGTTTACCTACTGTTATTTATGTCGTTTTATTGCATAATAAAGCTTCTTAGAGTAATTCTAATGCCTTTTCTCTCATAATATGCAAGGTATACACAAAGGGGGAGAAGTCTAGCAGCTGAAAATTTGGACCTAAAAAAGCTACGTTAGGCTACCTATTCTGCACAACTCCAAATGAGCTGAAACTTCACGAGGAATATTTATGAAATATTTAAGGAATATTGGAGCAAATAAGTACCATAGGGGGCCCACCAGGTGGGCACAACCCACCTGGGCGCGCCAGGGAGCCCACGCGCGCCCTGGTGGGTTGTGCTCACCCAGACCCACCTCTGGTGCCCTCTTCTGGTATATAAGTCATTTTGACCTAGAAAAAATAGGAGTGGACTTTCGGGACGAAGCGCCGCCGTATCGAGGCGGAACCTGGGCAGGAGCACTTTTGCACTGCGGTAAAGCGATTCCCCTGGGGGAACTTCCCTCCCAGAGGGGGAAATCATTGCCATCATCATCACCAACAACTATCCCATCTTTGGGAGGGCTATCTTCATCAACATCTTCAATAGCACCAACTCCTCTCAAACCCTACTTCATCTCTTGTGTTCAATCTTTGTACCGGAACTATAGATTGGTGCTTGTGGGTGACTAGAAGTGTTGATTACATCTTGTAGTTGATTATTATATGGTTTATTTGGTGGAAGATTATATGTTCAGATCCATTATGCTATTTAATACCCCTCTGATCTTGAGCATGATTATCATTTGTGAGTAGTTACTTTTGATCTTGAGGTCATGGGAGAAATGATGTTGCAAGTAATCATGTGACTTGATATGTGTTCGATATTTTGATGATATGTATGATGTGATTTCCTTAGTGGTGTCATGTGAACGTCAACAACATGACACTTCACCACATTTGGGCCTAAGGGAATGCATTGTGGAGTAGTTATTAGATGATGGGTTGCGAGAGTGATAGAAGCTTAAACCCTAGTTTATGCGCTATTCCATTAGGGACCGATTGGATCCAAAAGTTTAATGCTATGGTTAGAATTTATTCTTAATAATTTTCTCATAGTTTTGGATGCTTGCGAGGGGGTTAATCATAAGTAGGAAGTTTGTTCAATTAAAAACAACACCTAAGCACCAGTCAAATCAAAGTAGGGAACACAAAGTAAGCCAACATGATGAAAGTGACTAGATAAAATTCCCGTGCACCCTCAAGAACGCTTTGCTTATCATAAGAGACTGTTTTGGCCTGTCCCTTGCCTAAAACGGGTTGGGCTACCTTGCTTCCATTTTGTTACTACTATTGTTACTTTCTCGTTACAAATTATCTTGCTATCAAACTACTCTACCACTTACAATTTTAGCAATTGCAGACATTACCTTGCTGAAAATCACTTGTCATTTCCTTCTGCTCCTCGTTGGGTTCGACACTCTTACTTATTGAAAAGGCTACAACTGACCCCCTACTTGTGGGTCATCAAGGCTATTTGCTGGCGCCGTTCTGAAGCACTTTTGGTAAGTGGAAATTGGTAAGAAAACATTATTACTACATGCTGAAATTTATTGTCACTTGCTACTATGGAAAACAATCCTTTGAGGGGTTTGTTCGGGGTTTCTTCACCTCGACCGGAACCACAAT